GATGATTCTGATTGGTCATCTTCATTGAAACCTTGGCAGAAGATAGGTCCCTGGGCTATCAGGGAGAGAAGTCAAGTAAACCTTTAGTGCCAGGAATGGTGTTTGTAAAGATCCAGCATGAAGTGATACATTTCATCCTTGGGCTTCTTACTGGCTTCAACCCAAACAGAATCACTTAGTGCTGTTCCCTGGGTTAATGATGTTATTAGAATAAGTGACTGAAAGCAACAACTGAAAGGCTGAGTGCTTTGTTGTGAGGTGTGCAAAAATTCAATTCTATCAAAACAGGCTTGGCAGAGCTGCCACCAGTGGGACGGGGCTTAGCTTTTGTTAGCTGCTTCTTTGATGCTTCATGGGCAGCTGGCATTTCTGTTGCTGGTTTCTACTCTCTCAACCCTAGTGGACCCTGCATTTTCTCCCCTGAGTGTCCTTATCTTTCCAGATGCAAAAAACCCGTGTGCTATTGTTTCTGCACTTCTCCCTGTCCTCATCTCTAAACATCATATGTGTGCAGAGAAATCACACTTGTTGCTCTGTTGTCTCAAAGGGTTTAGGCCTGAGTTTGCTGAGGTGATTATGAAGGTTGTGTGAAGCTGTGTCAAACATTGAGAGACATACACACAGGCTGTAGCAGATGTGTGTTATTCTCTCAATGCAGGCACTGATGATGGGGATTTAGAATGAGCCACTGTGCAAAGGATGCCCCAGAGAGACTATTCCCTATACATTATTATTCAGTGTAAGATATCCAATAAAGCAACTGGATAAAGAAATGCCTATATCTAAACCTAAAATATTCACTCCCTCCCAGAGTTAACTTCCCTCATCCTTGAGAACAGGCCATCCATGGAGTCACCAAAATGCACTTTTTAAAAAGTGTATTCACACTACACTTCATCTTCATGCTCCTTTTCCCCTTGACAATGTGTTATATGTTGAGAATCTTTAAATAAAACTCCTCAACCACCAAAGAATTATTTCTCCCTATTTCTATTCATTAGTACTTCTTATCTTGAAGGCTGATTTCAATGATCATTTATCCCTCACAACTTCATATAATTTCTTCCTTTTAGAATCCCACTGAATATCATTTATATTTATCCCATGCTGCTTTTTTATTCTAGTTTATATTATTACTTGTGAACTTTCCTAATCTCCTCTCCCAAACACACAAACCCTTCAGCGACTTCCATGGGAGGCTCTCTTATCTATTACTCTTCACATCCCTAGCCATGGGATATGCAGGAGACACTAATAGATCTAGTATATCACACAGGAAGCAGACCACTAGGACAACAATTACAAACAGCAAATCCCAGTATCCACTAAAGACAGTGACAAGGATAAAAATACCTGAGAAGGAGGTAATAAGTATTCATGAAGAAGAATTTCTTAAGCCTCAGCATCTTAGCAGCTATAGCAGAATGCCATAACAAAGACAAAAATATTTCGAGTGTGAAGTTACACCATAACATACAAATGCATCTGTCAATGAGGCCATTAGAAATCTTTCAGACCAAAGGTCCCAAACACCCACTATAACTTTCTCATTTAATAGGGCACGTGTGGGGAAACTGTACTGTTCAAAAGCACTCCTATCAGGAAAAGGCAAAAAAAGTCCCCTCACGACTCCTTCTCAACACTGTACTGGACATCCTAATATAAGACAAAAAAGGAACTAAAAGGTATACAGGTTGGGTGCAGTGGCTCACGCCTGTAATCCCAGCACTTTGGGAAGACGAGGAGGGTGGATCACAAGGTCAGGAGTTTGAGACCAGCCTGACCAGCAAGGTGAAACCCCGTCTCTACTAAAAACCTAAAAATTAGCCAGGCATGCTGGTGCATGTCTGTAATCCCAGCTACTCAGGAAGCTGAGGCAGGAGAATCACTTGAACCCAGGAGGCAGAGGTTGGAGTGAGCCGAGATCCCACTACTGCACTCCAGTCTGGGTGACAGAATGAGACTGTCTCAAAAAAGAAAAAAGCAAAAAAGTATACAGTTTGGGAAGAAAAAAAATAAACTGTCTTTGTTTACAGGTGACATTATTGCCTATCTTAACTCCCAAAGAATTGACAAATACTCTTCTGAAACCACTAAACAATTATAGCAAGGTTGCAGAAGGCCAGATTAATATACAAAAGTCAACTATTTTCCTATATATCAGAATTCAACAAGTGATATTTGAAACTAGAAAGCACAGTACCATTTACATTAGCAGCCCCCAAAATGAAATACTTATGTATAAATCTAAGAAAATATTTATGAGTCCTATATAGGAAAACTACAAAACTCTGATGAAAGATGTATAAATAATAAATAAATAAATAAACAAAGTGATATTCCATGTTCATGAATACAAGGACTCAATATTGTCAAGACATCAGCTGTCTGTCCCCAAATTGATCTAAACATTCAATGTAATCCCATCAAAATTTTACTAAATTATTTTGTGGATATTTTGTGGACAAACTGAATCTACAGTTCATATGAAGAAGCAAAAGACCCAGAATAGACAACTCAATATTGAAGGAAAAGAACAAAGTTAGAGGACTCACACTACCTGACCTCAAGACCTACAAGAAATCTGCTACAGTAATCAAGACAGTGTGGCATTTATGAAACAGGCAAATGGATCAATGCAACAAAATAGCACAGAAATAGACCACCACAAATATAGTAAGCTGATGTTTGACAAAGGAGCAAAGGCAATACATGGGAGAACATGCAGTCTTTTCAACAAATGATGTTGGACATCCACATGCAAAAAAATAAATCCAGACACATATCTCACACTTTTCATTAAAATTTACTCAACGTGGATCAAAGGCCTAAATGTAAAACACAACACTACAAAACTTAGAGAAAATAAGAGAAAATCTAGATGATCTTGGGTTCAGTGATCTATTTATTTATTTTTATTTTTTATAGTGATTACTGTGTTCCAGAATATTCTAATTTACTAATTTTTATTTTAATTTTTTTCTGTCTGGTCTCTGATTTTTTAATTTTAATTTTTATTTCAATTGTTTTGGGGTGACAAGTGGTGTTTGGTTGCATGGAAAAGTTATTTAGTGGTGATTTCTGATATTCTGGTGCACTCATCACCAGAGTAGTGCACATTGTACCCAATGTGTGTAGTCTTTTATCTCTCACTCCCCTCCCATCCTTCCCCGAGTCCCCAAAGTCCATTATATCATTCTTATGTCTTTGCAGTGACTTTTAAAATACAACATCAAAGGGATGAGCCATGAAATAAATAATTGATAAGCTGACTTCATTAAAATAAAAAAGCTTTCCTTCTGCTAAAGACAATGTCAAGGGAATGAAAAGACAAGCTACAGACTGGGAGAAAATATTTACAAAGACACATCTAATAAAAGACTCTTATCCAAAATACACAAAGAACTCTTAAAATCGAACAATAAGAAAATGAACGACCCAAATAAAAAATGGACAAAAGACCTGAAAACACGCCTTATCAAAGATATACAGATCGCAAACAAGCAGAGTAAAAGATGCTCAACGTCATAGACTTACGGAATTTCTATTAAAACAATGAAATAGCATCACACACGATCGCAGTGCAGTTGAGCTTCCCCCAGGCACACTGTTCCCAGACTTGTGCAGGGCTGGTTCCCTCACTCTTTGCCTTTCTGTTTGCAGCACAAATGCCACTTCACTGAGGTGTTGAGGACTCCCTCACTCTGTCCCTTCCGCCTCCCACCACAAGCACCTGCTTTATTTTACTATAGCACCTGCTCTTTTTTTTTTCTCATGCGTTTGCTTTTACGCTCTGTCCATCCATTCCTCCAAACGGTGAGCTCCTGAGCGCAGGGCCCATGCAGGTCATTTTCAGCACTGCACCCTGGTCTAACTTGCCCCTTGCACAGCTGAGTGCTCCAGGCACAGTTTCTGAATGAATAAATGAGAGTATCCAAGAGCCCCCTTCCCACCTGTGAGGAGCTCACATTGTGGGGATGGATGCTACTCACAGGAGATGCAAGTTGGGTGGAAGGCAGGGGGACCCTGGGAGTTTCTCTGACTGCAGCTGCCCCACTGAGCAAAACGGGCACCGCCTCCCCTGATGGCCAGCACTGGAACTGCAGACCCAGGCGAGGAACCCAGAAACAAAGCCCTCACCTGGGTGTGGGTGTCCTCAAGGCAGTAAGACTCTCAGGGCTGAGGGGGGCAATGAAGGGGAGCTGTAAACTCCAGGAGAGATGAGAGGGGTGTCGGAAGGTTCTCTTGACCCCTCTTTCCCTCCACTGGCCCCGGAGGAGCACAGTCCACTCATAAGGGGGGTGTCCAGTCCACCCCATCCACTTCCAAATGGGAGCCCGAGGCTGCAAGCAAAGACACCCCACTCCACATGCAGGGTTCGGCCTCCCCTGCACCACTCAGGACCCCTGCTGTCCTGCAAGCCCAGCTGCTCTGGGCCAGGAAGGACCCCAGGGAGTGGAAGGCCTTTTCCAAGGGCACGGTGGGTCCCTGACGGGGAACCAAAGCCAGGCACGCTTCTCCCAGGCTGGGGGCCTCAGGGCACCTGAGAATGGCCATCCTTGGTACAAGGGGGTGGGGCCCCACTCCCGCGCGCCCTGTGGCCCAGGGGACGCAGGACTCTGCACCCTGACCCTAGAGCTTGCCCTAGGATGGCCCGGCCATGGAGACGCCCTGGAACGGTGAGGACTCTCTGCCCATCAGCCTGGCACCTCTGCCCTACCCTCAGTCGCGTGTGCACTCCGTGCGAGGGAGAAGGCAACCAGGACGTCACGCCTACGTGAGCGGCAATGCCAGCCAATTGGAAAACCTTCCCCGCGCCTGCGTGGCTCTGCAAGCCAATCGAAAACTCCGTCGTGCATGCCGCCAGCCAATCAGGATGTCCAGAGCGCAGCGCCTCCAGCCATTTGAGACTCCCGCTGGCTCTGCGGCTCCAGCCAATCAGGATGCCCGTCCTTGATAAAACCAGCCAGTCAGCGTGCCGGCCGCGCAACAGCAGCAGCCAGTCAGGAAGCCCAGCGTTCACGCTTCCAACCATTGTCGGACTGTCAACCGCCACCAGGCGCTTTCAGCCAATCGCAGCCGCCCGTCGCCAGCGCGGCGGTAACTGGCGCGGCGTCTGTGGGCAGTCGCGTGCGGGGCGGCGGGGCGGCGGGCGGCGGCGGCGGCGGCGGCGGCTATGGGAGATATCCCCGCCGTGGGCCTCAGCTGCTGGAAGGTGACGCGGACGCGGCAGGGAGGCGCGCCGAACCCAGGGGAGCGCGGGACTTGGGGGCGCCCGACGGGGCCCAGGCTGGGGCCGGGGAGAAGTGCGGCGGCCTCCCCTCCGCCTGGCCGGCGCCCGCCCACCGCCCACACGCGGCCCGGCCCGGCCTTCCCTAAAACCGAGTCGGTGTTGCCCGCGGAGGCGCTCTCCGCGCAAGCGGGGACTGCGGCAGCCACGCCTCAGACTCGGGGGCTGCGGCAGCCACGCCTCAGACTCGGGGGCTGCAGCCGCGGCGTTGGGCGGAGCTGTTCGGTGGAGAGGCCGAGCCCCTGTAGTCACTCAGAGCTGGAGCGGGGATGCAGAGTGGAGGCCTTGGCGCCGCTGGACTCAGCCTGAGCAGGGAACCTCGAAGCCTCCTCTCCAGTCATGAGAGAAAGAAAAGTTGGGGCCCGGCGCGGGGTGCGGGCTTGGAATCCCAGCACTTTGGGAGGCCGAGGCGGTAGGATCGCCTGAGGTCAGGAGTTCAAGACCAGCCAGGTCAACATGGCGAAACCCTGTGTCTACCAAAAATGAACAAATCAACTGGGCTTGAGGGGTGCGCGGCTGTGGTCCCAGCTACTCAGGAGGCTGAGGTGGGAGGATCACTGGAGCCCAGGAAGTCGAGGCTGCAGTGAGCTTTGATGGCGCCACTGCACTCCAGCCTGGGGCACAGAGCCAGACCTTGCTGGAAAAAAAAAAAAAAAAAAAAAGGAAAATTGGAATTGCTGATTAGGCTTTAAAGGAAACTTTGGGACCTCATGTTCCTCCCTGTTTAGAAGTAGCCCGCCCTGATGCCTGAGAAAAAGGACATATTATCGCTCTGTGCTTTTATGGGGGGCACTGCAATGTTTTGAGACGTGTGTACAATTGCAGCGTGGTTAAATCAAACTAATTAACATATCCATCACTTCTCTCAGCTATTATTGTTTGTGGTGAGATGTTTGAAATGTCTTATTTTGAAATACACGTGTAGTAAATTATTGTTGACCGTTGGCATCCTAGTGTGCAGTAAGTCTTAAAAGCTGTGTCTCCTATGTGTTTGAAACTTTGTACCGTTTGATGAGCAGCTCTCCATTCCCTCCTTCCTCACCTCCACCAGTCCCAGCCTCTTATAACCACCATTCTATTCTATGACCTTTCTCTACTTTGAACTCAATTCCTGCCAGTGATTTGAGACAGCACTAAAAAGCGTTTAAAATTTCATCTTTTTTTTTTAAAAGCTAAACTTCATTGTTGATAAAAGCTATAAGAAGTCACATAGGAAGTTAGTTACTGAGGAGTCAGAATGTTCAAGTTCTGCTCATGAAAATATTATTTAAATTATTTCTCCTACCTGCTTACCAACTCTTAGAGGCTAGGAGTGTCATTCTGTTCATATTGGTTCTCAGCATCTAGTAAAGGACGTGCATCTGGCAGCCATTCATTCAGGAAGCACTTGATGGATTAAACCGTTGAGTCTCTTGCTTCCCTTTACTTATGCAACAATTTGGTGCAGGAGTCCAGACTTCTGTGCACACAGGATAAGGAAAAATTAGTGAAAACTGTGCTTAAGCGGTCAAAATATTCTATTTCTTTCTTGGACTACAGGTGCATCAAATTGGATTAATCATAATCACTCATCACTGGTCTATGCAAAGGCTTATTTTTACTTGGCTATTTTTAATAGTGAATGAACATCACAGATCTGTCAGTTATCTGTTGCCCCAGAAATGCTGCATCAATGGCCAAACACCAGACCTTGGTGGTGTACAGCAGCAAGTGCGTACCTCCTGCATGGGAGGTCAGGAGAGCAGCTCTGTGGACCTTAGCTGGGCTCCTTCTCTTGGGAGTTGGCTGGTCTCAGTTGGGATGGTTGGGGCTACCCCACTTGGCTCCACACACCTCCTGTCCTCATGCGGCTAGTCAGGGAGTGTTCTCAAGATGATGACTGAAGCACAAGAGAGCAAGGGGAGCCGTGAGATGTCTGGAGACCTCAGCCTGGGCTCTTTATTGTTAGGGGCCATTTGATCCATCTGTGTGCCTGATCGGCGCTGTCTTAATTACTACAGTTCCTTGATAAGCCCTCATACCTAGTAGGGCAGGTCACCTCTCTCTGCTCTTGTAGATTTACAGTGTACAATTTGATGAGTTTTGACAGATGCGTGTACCTGGGTCCTGGCTTTTTATTTTGGCACCTTACTCTCCACTGTAGGTTTTAGAACTAGCTTATAAGTTTCCGTGGAAAACTTTATTGGGGTTTTGATTGGAACTACATTAAATCCGTCGACCAACTTGGAGATAATTGACATCTTTGTAATATTAAATCTAACTTTTCTACAAGCATGATATTCTTCTCTATTAATAAATTGTCCTAAATATGGTTCATTTCTAACATATTTTCATATGGTTGTATAGTTTTTCCTGAGGATAATATATGTCTTTTGTTGGAATTATTCTCGGGTTCTTGATAGTGTGTTATACTACTGGAAATTATATTTCTCTGAAATTACGTTTTCTACTTGTTTCACCTGCTATATTCATTACACTTCCAGCCACTTTACTAAACTGTACTATTATTTCTGTTAATTTGCCTTACATTTGTTTGAATTTCCTACACAAATGATCATATCATCAGCAAATAATGGTAGTTTACTTTCCTTTTTTTCCAGTCTTTAAGCTTAAAATTGCTTCTTCTTAGTTGTTTAGGTGCTTCTGCAAAGCACCTCCAGCGCAGTGGCTGTTCTTGTTTTGTACCTGATTTTAAAGGATGTAGGATGGGTTTTTTTTTTTTAATATTGATACTCTGTCAGATTAATTTTTTTCCCCAACTTGCTGGGAGTTTAGATTTTGAATCTAAACTGGTATTGAATCTTAACAAATATTGATTGAGATGACTTTTGTTTTTGTATTTTAATCTGTTAATATTGATGAATTACAGATTTTCTAATAAGAAACCATCCTTAAATGTCTGAGATACACTCAACATGGGTATGGTATATTATCTTTTCATAAATATTGTTGCATCCAATTTGCTTTTATTTTACTTAGGAATTTTGCTACGGTATTCACGAATAAGATGAATGTGTAACTTTTAATATTTTTGTCTGATTTTGATTTCAAGGTTATGCTGGTTTTGTAGAATGAGTTGAAATAAGTCCGTCTTTTTCTGTTGTTTGCAAGTTTGTGTTAAACTGAGATGATTTCTTGAACATTTTATGAAACTTTGGTGGTTTTCTCTTTTTTTCAAATTGCTTCCTTTCTCTAATAATTATGTAACTATTCAACCTTTATTCTTGAGTTAAATTTTTCTAGGAATTTTCCCATTTTATATCATTTTTCCAAATTATTGACATATCGTTATTGGTAATATTTTCTTTTAAGTCCATTTTATTTGCTTGTTTTACTTTCTCTTCATGTCAGTTTTTTGAAAAGTTGGCCTCTTCATCAACCTGACCAGAAGTCTGTTTATTTTAGTGAAGTTTTTCCAAGAACTGACATCTGGTTTTGTTGATCTTCTCTGTTACATCTTTGTTTCTATTTTATTGATGTTATTCTTAATCATATTTTTATCTTTCCATTCAATTTCTTGGGTTCTTTTTCTAACTTAAGATGGATACTTGGTTCATTAGCTTTCAACCGCTCTGAATCTGTTGCTTAAAATGAAGATAATTATGCTGCTTTAACTCCTAGGATTACTGTGAAGCGCCAACGAGAAAGTGCTTTGTGAACTATAAAGCCCTTGTCAGTCTTCAGTTTAATGTGATTGCAAGCCCGCCCACCCCCATGGTCTTCCCTAGTTCTAGTTCCTTCCCTTGCCTGAGCTTCATTTAGAGTGACTCTTCTCTTTTCTGAACTACCTTATGGCTTATAGCATTATACATTCATTTGGGTTTGTTATATGCTTCTTTTTGAATGGATACCTTCATGTGAGTCTACACCTCAACCTTTATTATTGGACGCTGTGGTATCTGAGTGTACAGGATGAACCTTAAGCCTCTTTGCATCTCAGTTATTATTCATTCTACACTTTTTTATTGCTTTGATCATTCAGAAAGCACACCATGTAGCTCAGTTTTCTGCAGACACTAAAAATAACCTATAGTTTTTTTCCCAAAATATGTAAAGGAATTGGAACTTAGATTATTCATAAATTACTTCATAACTCTGACATTACCTGTTTTTAGACTGATTATACTAGTACCAAATTAGTGACTTAATTTTGTATGTATTATGTGGTCCACGTCCACGTGCTTGGGTGAAAGGGGAGATTTGTGTTGGGTTCCTCTGACTGTGGGAAGACACTTTGTTTTGTTGGTTTTGCAGGCTTCTCCGGGGAAAGTGACTGAGGCAGTGAAAGTAGCCATTGACGCAGGGTACCGGCACTTCAACTGTGCTTACTTTTACCACAACGAGAAGGAGGTTGGAGCAGGGATCCGTTGCAAGATCAAGGAAGGAGCCGTAAGACGGGAGGATCTGTTCATTGCCAGTAAGGTAGGGCTTCTCTGTGCAAGGCTGGCAGAGCTTGGGTAATGCTACATCTCGGGAGGGCTTTCTACTTTCTTTATGGGAGTTGATGACTTTGTTTCATACTTGAATCAGAATAAACAAGAATATTCACAGCTTCATGAGCATGCTGAATTATATTGTGTGCAGGTTGGTTTCATATTATTTACTTGGTCATTCAGGTAGTAGTACACAGATACCCCCAATTAACAATACATTATCAAAATTGATTTAGTAAGGGCACTTTGGCTACACTAGTGAGTAGGACAAAGTCCTAGCCCTCGTGAAGTCTGTTTACACAGCGATTCCTAAATTCAGAATCACTGGGGTGATTGTTAAATGCAGATTTCAAATTCTACCGCATGTCTGCTGAAGGAGAAACTCTGGGTGTGGAGGGAGCAGCTTGAGCGCAGGCATAAGGCAGGAAGCAGCACAGCAGGTGCAGGGGTTTGTAAGAAGCTTGGTGTATTAGTCCATTCTCATGCTGCTGTTAGAACATACCTGGGACTGGGTAGTTTATAAAGAAAAAGAGGTTTAATGGACTCACAGTTTCACTTGGCTGGGGAGGCCTCACAATCATGACAAAAGGCGAAAGAGGAACAAAGGCACGTCTTACATGGTGGCAGACAAGAGAACGTGTACAGGGGAACTGCCCTTTATACCATCAGGTCTCATGAGACTTATTCACTATCACCAGAACAGCACAGGAAAAACCTGCCCCCATGATTCAATTATCTCCCAGTGGGTACCTCCTATGACAGGTAGGGATTATGGGAGCTACAATTCAAGATGAGATTTGGCTGGAGACACAGCCAAACCAAATCACTTGGTCTCTCTGGACCACATGATGTCAGGTTGCAGGAGTAACGAGAAGTGAGGCTGAGTGGATGGGCTGGGCCATGGAAGTTCAGCTGTGCCCTGTCAGTAGCTGTGCTTTTTCCTAGAGACAGGAGCCCTGTTTGGTTTTTAAGTAGGGCAGCTTGTATCATATGTGAGTGCAACTTGTGTTGTGTATAGGATATTTTAGTAGGTGAAAGGAGCTTGCATTTGAGGCAGAGGCAGGAGGCCAGGTAGGAGACATTAACAGCAGTGCAGGTGGAAGATGGTGAAGGCCTGCACTGGCACAGTGGGTGAAGGAGGGAGGAGAGGAAATGAATGTGGAGGGTAGTTGGGAGGCAGGCCCTGTGGAAGACGCAGAGTGGACTACGATAGTGGAGAATTCAAGAATTCCTTTGCTTTTGATTTGGAAGCGGAATGTTAAGACCATGAGTATTAGGGATTTCATGACTCAGGCTCACAGCTTCATTATTTATAAAATGAGACTTTGGATTTGAGAATTTCCTGAGTAACTTCCCAGCTAAAATTTCATACCTCAGGATTCAATGTTGTTTCTATAGTTGAATTGCCTTCTGTTTTACTTTATGGAAGTTAATGTTCTTCAGTCACCATTGCTATCTGCACTAGAGCAGAGGGTGGTAAGAGAGCAGCCTTGGTGTGTGTTTGGCCAAGCGGCGAGAATATCTTCTGAATAGTCCAGGTAGGGAAGTGAGCAACTGGAGATTCCTGAGGCTCGCCCTGCAATGTGGAGCAAGTTGCTTCTGTGTGGATCATAGTCAGCAGTGGAAATATGTTCATTATTTTGGAAATTTGGAAAAGTTATAGAAATGTAATTAGAAATAAATAAATCACACATATACACACCACATAGAGACAACTGTGATTAACAGTGGAATACGTTTACTTCCAGCGTTCATTTTTTTATTTTTCTGAAGATACTGTGCTCGTTTGTTTCCATTTATTTGATTGCCCTTTCTTTTACTTTCATTTAACTTATCATTTTTGTTTTTTCCTTGCTGTGACAGAGCCTTCAGGTTAGCTTATGTCACAGTCAATAAAAGTATAATGAGGGGAAAATCACAAGTTTTTCTGCTTAATGGCATTGTGGAAGGAAATAGCTAAAAGAAGTAAGGCAGTGTGAGTTCACTCACCTATAGGCTAACCCACATGGTTACAGTGCCTTAGGAACAGAGAACCCTTAATGCGGAGTCTGTGTAAGTGAGAAACACAAGATAGAGACTTCTGATTTTTCATCATGTCTTTTCTGCCTGCAGGAATTTCACTTTCGTTTTTGTTTTTGGTCCCAAGGGATCCAAATAACCATCAAATATTTCTTGGATTCCTGAGCTTCCCTTGAGGAGGAGTCAGGCAGAAGGAGTTCAGCTTTGGAGCCTCTCCCTGCAGGTGTCCTGGAACTCTTCTGAGGATAATGTCCCTGTCCTCCCGTCAGAACCTGCCATGTTGTATTTGTGGTCATCTCAACTCGGCTATTTTGGGTCCAAGACAGTAGCTTTGTGGGGCTATAGAACGGGTGCCATGCTGGCTCTGGGTGGGCATGTGTGACACTGGTCCCCTTTCCTTTGTAGCTGTGGTGCACCTGCCACAAGAAGTCCTTAGTGAAAACAGCATGCAGAAGGAGTCTAAAGGCCTTGAAGCTGAACTATTTGGACCTCTACCTCATACACTGGCCCATGGGTTTCAAGGTACAATTCAGTAGGTAGTTCATTCCGCGGTTTGCAGGACCTTCCTCCCCGTGGTTACACCCTGTCTTGCGGTGGGGAGAGCATGTACCAGCAATCAGGGCCGGGGTTCCCAGGCCGCACCTGCCACATGCTAGCTGTGGCATTTGGGCAGTCCTCTTGATATCTCTGGGCCTCAGTTAAGGAGAGGCTTGGCTTGACCTCTGAGGCCCCCACAGGTCTGTCGTTTAAGCCAGTCACTTTTTTTCCAAGCCAAGAGAGCAGCAGGTTTTCTTCCCTTAGGTTTTTAGGTGAAAGCAGCGATCAGATGAGGAAATACTGCTGCTCAGAGAAAGTTCCCAGTGAATTCCTAGGCCTTGTCTCTGCTTGCAGGTTCTGTTCTCTTTGGAGAGTAAATGCTGTTTTGCAATATGAGAGATAATTGCTTGTTCACCTGCAGCAGGGTCCGGTGGGTTATGATGGTAGTTGACTTTTCCACTTGATTTTATTCTCTTAATTGCTTCACAGTGTTTCTGGAGCACGCATCTGAGCCATGGCTCTGCCACTAAGCTACCCTAGTCTAGCCGTGCGGCTTCCCTACTCTAGGCAACCTGCTTCTGTCTCACACAGGTCCTGGCCAGGATGTCCCTGCACATTTGCCCCGGGCTGTGATGACAGCCTGCCTGGGCAAGGGCCTGGTCACACAGTTGACACCTGTGAAATAGAGAAGCCCTTCCAGGGATGTTCTTCCTACAATGGAATGGGTGCCTGCTGCTCAGGAGTCTTTTACATGCCAACCTGTGAGAAGTTCTCTTTATGCTGCCACACTGTTAGCTACTGTTTTAGAGTAAAATAACAAAAAACACTTCATTCCTTGCACAGCTTTACTTAACTAAGGCTTTGTATCTAGTTTCCATAAATGATGTGGGCAGCTGTCCATTAGTCACACTGACTAAGAGTGAAAGATAGCCAGAGGGCAGATAGCCAGAGGGCAAAACCAGAGTGATGTCTATGTCTTTGAAATTCGCTGCATGCAGAAAATCATAATTAAAACAATGGCTATAGCTATATTACACTCAATGCCAGCCAGCATTGTTTTAATTATGTACCCAGAACTATTTTAGGTGCTTTACACATATTAATTCATTTAATTCTCATGACAGTTCTACAAAGTTGACACTATTAACATCCCTTTTGGAGAGATGATAAAACTAAGACACAGAACGTTGAAGGTTTAAGTTAGATTATTGGAGCCCAGAAGTATATGCTCAGGTCAGACATTTGTTACACTTTGCTTGCCCTCATCCTTTAGCAGATTCCTGTCTTTGGATTTCTGGGTGGTAGAAAAGGAAGAGGTCTCAGATCACCCAGCAAATTACAGAGGAGGATAATGCAGCATCGTCAGCTTGTCTTCTGGCCAGTGGGAACTGCTAGGCCTTGTGTGATGCTGGACAATTAGATCAGAGTCCGAGTATGAGTCCCGGGCTGCAATTTTGTGGAGGCTTGGATAAATGTCAACATGGGATGTGGCTTTAAAGCGAGACTGTTCATTACTTCAGCTCATCATGGAAAATGCCTCGTGCATGTGGACCAGGCTGGAACATGTGACATTCTTCCACTGTTGCTTAGGAGTGTGATTAGGTGTCATTAAATATGACATTCACCCTTAACACGCCATGTGGAGTGCATGAGGGAGGTAGCTGGACTGTACATCAGTGCTGCTCTGAAGGGTGACTTTAGGTTCTCGCCCTTTCAAGGTGTCTCTCTCTGCCCCTACCTGCTGTGTACCTTTGTATACTCATTCCTCACCTGTCATCACCATGGGGATTCTAAGAAAAGAAGACAAGACCCTAACAGTGGAGGTAGGAGAGGGTTGACTGGGCCCTATAAGACATGAAGAAAATGCATTCCTCATGCATTCTTTACCCGAAATTAGTGAACTGTTTTCTGGAGACGATGGGAGAGGACAGCCTTGCATCAGTGAGGATACGGGGTCTTCCTTTCCCATCTCGTGAGAGATGGACAGTGAACATCAGGCTGGCAGAGGCTTTGCCAGCCATCCAGTCCATCAGCCATTGGTCTTTTCTTAGAAAGGTGAAGACTGGGCCTGGTCACATGGCCAGGCTGGGGTTGCTTAGTGACAGGGCGGTGGCTTGGATGCAGGTCTCCTGACACATGTTTGTTTGTTTGTTTGTTTGTGTTTTTCACACATCTCAACTGTCCTTCTTCACAGCCTCCTCATCCAGAATGGATCATGAGCTGCAGTGAACTTTCCTTTTGCCTCTCACATCCTGGAGTGCACGACTTGCCTCTGGACGAGAGCGACATGGTCATCCCTGGTGACACGGACTTCCTGGACACATGGGAGGTGAGCTGAGCCATACCACCAGGCAGCCTCATCCTGTGTGGGTCTCCACCCAGGATGCAGTGAGCCCCGAGCTACTTGTGTTCAAAGACATCAAGGTTGTCTACCTGAGATGTGGGGTTTGCAGAACAAACAAGGAACCAATACCCGAAGAACTCAGAGACCTCAGTGACTTTCTTGTTACCTTTGGTTTGGTGTAGTGCAGCCCTCTTGATACATTATTTAAGGGGTAGCTCATTATAGACCTCACGTTTTTTCTCAAATATTTATTTTTTGATTAAAAAACCGTATTTCTTTCAGAAAATGCAGGAGAGTTCTTCCGTATTAAACTAACATCAAAAAATTTATTTTCCCGGTACCCAGCAGTTACCACTGTTAATGTTTTAAGTTTCTTTTTCTCTCAAGCATTTCAGAGTGATGAAGTTGGCAGCATGGAAGCTCAGGCTGGGGAGGTGAGACCAGTGTTGGGGAAGGTTACCAAGTGTCAGCCCATTTCCAGAGTTGAGACCAAAAACAGCCCTTTACTGCAGGGGCTTGCAGTAAAGTCTTGAGCAGGAAATTAAGGAGGTGGTGTTTCCTGGAAGTTGACCCACAGGCTGGCGTGGGTCTCAGACTTGGGCTCCAGCATGGCTGATAGAGCACGTGTGGTCTTATGGTCTTGCTGACCAGCATGTGGGATGGGACGTCACATTTGAGGCCCAAGAAGAAAGTAAGCTTAAGCTTAAGCATGCTGAGGTTAGGACAGAGCTTGCTGGGTGAAGCTCTCCAGGAAGGAGGCCAGAGGGAACCCTCGAACAGGGAGGAGTTCCAGGCTAGGCTCCTCCGATCAGTAGAAGACAAAGACTGCCCTAAGGTATCTGCAATGTCAGGACCAAGGCCCATGGGCCTCAACCCTTTCTGTCACACTGTTTTATGTCCTAAAAGATCTGGGTTAAACTCTAGGGTGCTCATGTAGCACCAGCGAGGTTCCGGTGATTGTTGCAGAGTTGAGGCAGTAACTGACTGCTGCGTGTTGGCCCATTGGTCACTCAGGACTTGCTGCTGACTACGGACCCTGGCACAAAGCCATGCTCTTCCTGAAGCTCAGGGGCAGCCTGGCTTGCTGGTCAGTAACCAGCTCAGAGCTTTAGGTTGCTCTGCCCAAAAGTTCCTTAAACTAGTAAGTGGAGAAGGTGGGATAGGAGAATGATGATGCATCTGTGTGCTTAATAAGGTCAATGTCTCAGTGGAAAGAAAGGTGAACAAATAAAATCCGCAGCAGACATGCTGGCCAGACATCAGGAGAAATAGGAACAAGAAGAGCTCACACGTGTCGAGTGCTGGATGCCAGCCTTAGATGACGCATTCTGTGATTCCACATAACCCCTAAACATCCCTGTGGCACAGGTAGTGTCGCCCTGTCCTGAAGCTGAGAAAACTGGGGCCAAGTGAGGCCATGCAACTTGCCCAGCATCCCCTAGCCAGGAAAGATGGGACTGGAATCAGACCTTGAGTGCAGAAATGCTTTTGAAGCTTCAAGTAAAATATTATAAAAATATTGGGTGCAACCAGTTTTAGAATACCGTACAGAACTGCTGAGGGACATAGATTGTCAGTGCAGTAGACAGAAGCTTCACACCCAGTGGAGTCATTGTTCTGTTATAGGCCATGGAGGACCTGGTGATCACCGGGCTGGTGAAGAACATCGGAGTGTCAAACTTCAACCATGAGCAACTTGAGAGGCTTTTGAATAAGCCTGGGTTGAGGTTCAAGCCAGTAACCAACCAGGTAAGCCGATGGAAGCATCAGAGAGTTTAACCTGTGTGGCTGGTCCCCCAGCTGCCACTTCTATAGGGCTCTTCTGGAAATGGGAGGATGGGTGAAGCACAAAACAGGCCTATTCTCCTCTGGCAGCACTCAGAATGGTGACTAAAAGCAGCAGCTAGCCAAGTGGCTTTCTTGAAGGTGCGTCTGGGTAGGTGGTACTGTTGGCAGGCAGGGCATGAGCTGGCACTTGGCCCTCCATGTGCGGTACAGGCAGGTCACCAGGTGTGCTCAGAAGTGGTTAGGGTCCTGGCAGGGGCCTCACCCTCATTCGGGAGCATGGACCTCCCCTCCGTCTCTTCCCAACCTGCAACCTGCAGCAAGAAAGAGTGGATGACCAGATGGCTTCATGCCAGGCTCACAGGCTGCTGAAGCTGACGCAGGCACTTCGTTTTTTAATGCAGAGAAAAGACTTGTGGGGAAAGAACTACTGTATTTTCTAGAATAGCTTTGTATGTTCAAAGATCATTTATACGGTACTTAAGCTTTTTATTGAAGAGTAGAAGTGCACATGTGAAAATGGAACTGTATACATTCTCATAAACTGAGCATAGCTCTGGGACCAGCATCCAGCTCGGTAAACAGCACATCCAGTGCCCCTGTAGCCCCTGCCGAGCACAGCATCGTTCCCATTCCCAGCAGCTGGGATTCACTTCAGAACTTTACACAGATAAAATAATGATGTGGCATAAACCCCTCTGTGCTCGCCTCTTTCACAGAGCACTGTGTTTCTATGCATGTGATTATAGATAGTGCTGTCTTATTTCTTGTGGTATTCTGTTTTGTGAATTAACCACAATGAATTATCCATTCTGCTGTTAATGAGTACTTGGACAGTTTCCAGTTTGGGACTATTAAGAATAGAGCATCACGTTCTATTTTTTAAAATAAATAACGCTTTTTAAAAAAGTTCTATACAGAATAGATGCACAAAAGTGTGCGAATCATAAAAGGCATACATAACTTGATGAATTTTTGCAAGTGAACAAACTCAAGTATTCAGCACCCAGAACAAGGAAAAGGCCCTCAGCCATTCAGTAGCTCCCCTGGGTCCTGTTGTGGCCGCCACCGTGAAGAGCAACCTGGCTTCTGACCCAGCTTCTAATGTAGTTTAACTTTGCCTTGTATACAATCCTATGTATGTAAGTTTTTATATATGTTTGTACGGATAGTAGCTTCCGTTTTGTGTCAGTATTTTTAGTTGTTCAGCACTTTAAATACCTGGGAATGATTATGGCATAGTCTGAGTAGACAAGGTGGAGTGGAGGGTCTGTTTTCTGATAGGATGATGGACACCCAGGAACACAGGATTCAGAAGGCTCCAGAAGGGCTGGCATCTCTTGGAGGCTTTCCAAAGAGGCTGATCTTGATGAGTGTGGCATGTTCCTGAGAGCAAAAGCACTATTCATAGTTCTCTGTAATTTACACTAAATATTTATTTTAAATATCCCTATAACGTGGAATTATATATGAGAGTTTGGAGAATGTGCAAGAGACAGTGATCCTGCTCTCTAGCTTCTTAAAATGATCATTCAAGTCACCGGTAGCAGGTGTTTGTCACATGTAGTTCCTCAATTTGATTCATTCACTCAGTGGATGTATTTTTAGCACTCCTACATGTCTACGTTGTTCTTAGTGTTGGCGAGACATCTGTGAACAAAACAAATTCAAACAAAAATCTCTATCTTCATGAGGCTTAGATCTTGGTGACCACAGAAAGACAATAAGCAAATAGTAAAAGTGATAGTGATAGGTGCTGTAGAGGAAAATAAAGGCCTGGGGAGATGGGAGCTATGGAGTGTTATAGTCTTCACCTGAGTGCTCCGGGAAGGCCCCGCAGAGCAGGTGGTATTGGAACATTCAGATGATGTAGGCGTCCCCAAGGCCATGGACTCAGAGACCATGACAGCCGCTGGCCTCTTGGAGATTGCTCTGTCCAGCCTCCTCACAACAGAAACACTTATGCCTGGAGTTGGCCCCCATGGCTACTCAGTGACAGCCAAGACTTTGACGCAGGTCTTCTCTTGTAGAGCTTTTCTTGAACACCAGTGGTCTGAATTTTATGTAAGCTGTGATTCTGTTATAGATTGAGTGCCACCCATATCTTACTCAGAAGAATCTGATCAGTTTTTGCCAATCCAGAGGTGTGTCCGTGACTGCTTACCGTCCTCTTGGTGGCTCGTGGTAAGGATACATCAATGGTGTGTTAGTCAGAGTCTGACTGGGAAGTAGGTGCCACCTTCTCATTTCCTTGGGATGATTGAGGGAGGATTTAACGGAGATTTTGACAGGGTGTGGAGGGATGGGACCACAGGGGGCTGTCCACACCTCTCAAGCCTGGGGTTGAAGACATGGCTTATTATTGGAAGCCAGGGAGTGGCTGTGAGTGGACTACCCTCGGAGGGGCAGGACCTCTTCAGGGACATAAACCAGCCTGGAGTGACCTCTTTGCTGAGTTCCCCACCAGGGCGTCAGTCCCCTTCTGACCTCCTGACAAGGATGCTCCCCAGGTGTCTCCGTGGTTGGATGAGGCGCAACCTGCTGTCATCCTTACCCAGGCCCTGCAGCTGTTCTGTGCTCCCTCGATCAGCTAAGGGACCTCCAGCCATTCAGCCACCTTAACCAGAAGCTTGGAAATCATCTGTCCCCACATCCCTAGTCCAATCCAGCACCAAAGTCTGTTGATTATTCTGCCAGGAGAAGTTGGACTTTGTGTCATGATTTCATTTCTGCCATCACTGTCACTGCCTTAGTTAAGTAGAATTCCCGAGGTCCTTAGAGGAGCCCCTCGGCTCCCTCCCTGGCCCACTCTATTCTAACCCATTGCTCCCAGAGGAAGCTGAAAGGAGCTGTCTCTTTCCTTTCCTGTGATCGTATCACTTTCCTGGGAAAAATTATTCAGGTCTTGGTGTGGCCTGTGAGATGCAGCCAGCCTGACCTCTGCCCGCCTCTGGCCTCATTCGTCCCTATCCCTGTGAACATCCTGGGCTTCAGCCACATGAAGCTGTTATGGGGTCCTTGGATAGAACATGTTTTCTCACCTCTGTGCCTTTGCAAATACAGTTCTCTTTACCCACAAATCTTTTTTTTTTTTTAATCTGGCAAACTCCAGTTTCTAATTTAAGGTTCAGTCCAGTCCAGCATCATCTCCTCCAGGAAGCCCTCCTGACCCCTCATTTATGTTTCTTACACAGCCCCTGTCACATTGTCTTGTGATTTTCTTCTCAGTCTCTTCCACTAGTCAAAGCAACCAGCGTGCAGGTATCTTATTTATTCTTCTCTTCCCAGCTCCTAGCTCAGCACCTGGGAAACATTGGGAACCCCCAAAAGGCTGAAATTACTTGACTTTTATCACCTGTGTGTTTTCCTTGTGAAGTGGGGCATGTGTGTTTGAACTTGGTACCAGCTGGAAAGTCCCTAGAAGGCTGGGTCCGTTCCATAGCTGAGCTTTGGGGTAGAGGGTCCTCTGTTGGAGTGAGTCAGGGAGCTCTCAGACTGACTGAGGCGGGCCACTGTGCACTCTGGTTCCTTCAGGAGACCTTGAGGATAATAATAGCACAATGCCTGAAACACGGTGATGGCTCAGTACACGCTTGTTGAAAAAATGAATCCTTAGAGTTCTCAGGGCCCACCCGAGCCTGAACAGAGGATGCATAGAGACTCTGTGATCATCTTCAAAACCACTTTTAAAGGTTCCACATGTTCACAGTATTCACTCTTTAGTGGTATTTTGGGTGAACTTTTCTGAAAGTATCATCATCAACAAATACCGATTTGCAGCGCTGTGCCAGGGCGTACAGTAGAAGCTGAGAAGTCAGAGAGCCCTGAGAGTTAGGGGGCGTCAAAGCTTGAGAGCCCACTGGCTGCGTGCGCTGACATGGCCACCTGGTTCTTGAGGAAAAGCACAAAATACACATGAAAAGTGATGTTATGTAGCCCTGTTCACCGAAGTGTTAGCAGTGGTTATCTCCAGACTAGAAATGTGGGGTGATGTGCTTTTCTGCATTTAAAAATTTCCTATGGTCAGCATGTGTCATGATCAGAAAATAAATCTTTCATTTTGGACAAAGATTTCTTCTTTCTAAAGAAAGGGACATCCATGTTGGATCTCCTGGCTCACCCCCCTGTGCTGTGTCTCTCTAGTGAAGGGATTGACCTGATAGATGACCCTGTGATCCAGAGGATTGCAAAGGAACACAGCAAGTCTCCTGCTCAGGTACTGAGGGAGGGCTGTTCCCAGCCAGGTGGGGTTCTCTGACGGCTTCACATCCTTGCGGAGTCCTGGGGCTTGGCAGGTCCCAGGAAGGGATTGGCTCACCCAGGTGAGTCTATGTCTCATTAGACCCTCCCAGCGTTGAGCAGAAGTTGGTCTGCAGCCACATTCCCAGTACTCTTGTCTCCAAGCCTGTCTAGACTCAGAGGAGGAGCTTCCAGGCCTCCCTCTGCCCCACCACCTGCATGCATGGTTAGTATGAGATGGAACAGAAAAGTTATTTAGTCTAGTCTTCTTTGTTCTAACGTCTAGTGGGAGGGCTGGGCGCATGTTAAGGAATTCTCATTAAGCAGATTCTGTTGACCTCCTCCTTGGGCTGATGGCTGTCATTACCAACATATTGACAGAGCTGCTCAGTAAATGCCAGTAACAGTAACTGCTGTCATTGACTCTTGGACTCTTACTGTACCATAAAACTCACGGTGTTAGCAAATAACTTAGACTATGTGGGATTTCCCTTTGTGTGATAGTAGACTTTTTGTTTCCTTGCAGATCTTGATCCGATTTCAAATCCAGAGGAATGTGATAGTGATCCCCGGATCTATCACCCCAAGTCACATTAAAGAGAATATCCAGGTAGGTGTTTTCCTTCTTTTATTTAGAGGGTTTCAGATCATGTGTTAGATGGGAAGGGATGACTGCTGTAGCACACAGCCTCAGGATCGCGGGGCTTGATGCAGCAGGGGCCTCTGCCTCTGCACTGCGGGTGTTGGTGGTTGACCTTTCACTCAGCGATCCAAGGACCCAGGCTCCTTCCATCTTAGGGCCCTCTCTCCCCTAGGGTGTTGGTGTCTTCTCCATCCAGCCCAAGATGAGGAAGGAGGGAAGAGCATCTTATTGGGAAGATTTGTATGGGCAAGGCTTGAGCATGTGCATCAGTCACATGGCTGCGCTGGCCCGCAGGGGAGGCTGGGTGTCTCCTAAGTGTGTGCTCAGGAGAAAGGGGAGGCAGTTGGTGGACAAGGTGCCACCTTCTGTCGCGTGGAGGTGTGCCCACGTGGCCTGAGGGCACTGCTTTGAGTTTTGTGGGAAGGCTCTGGTCCTGACTCCTGTCTAGTGACTTCCGAGAGGCAGGAGTGAAGACTGGTGTGTGAAATCTGTTTTTGGAGCTATGTGAAGGAACTATGTGTGGTTTCAACCCTGACGACATAGTCTATAACCCAGTCAGGGTCATGGACTTGGGATTCCCACAGGCCCACTCACAATTTAACTGCTGCGTAACCTCTCTAAGCCTTCGTTTCATCATTAGAGCACCCTCTGATATTATCACTGTGAGGGTGAAATGTAATGATATAGTGAAGGGGTGGCATAGTGCCTGGCGTATGGAAGTACCTGATGCTCTTAGCTGCCAGTCACCCCCAGTCACGGATGTCACCCGTAACGATCTCACAGGCAATGACAGGCGTTGGTGGCAGCCCACAGCCATTGATCATGTCGGCACAGGTGTGTGTGAGCTTGGGGCCAGCTGCACAGCTGCATTTCCATAGACAGCATGTGCCCAGGAGTGTGCTCCCTCTGGGTGTCCAAGCTGCCCATGAGCTCCACGAGGCACTACTGCATCCTCAGGGCTCTGTTTGGTTGTGCCAAGCAAGCATTGCCACTGGGGTTTATTGACTGACCCATCTGTAGCAGTGCCTGTGCCCTCAGTCTCACTGTGCATGCCAAGCTGGCTGTCGGTGGGCATAGCCCTGCCATTGACAGGAGAGACAGGCCACCCACCATGGGAGGACCAGGGGATGGGCAGGCTCCTCAGGGTGTCCACAGCGCTCTTCCTGCTGGGCCCTTGTCCAGCTCACCTGCTCCCCGCATGCACTTCTCTTCTTTCTCAGGCATCCTGCTCTTTGCATAGCCCAGAGCAGCTCTGGGTGACCAGCCAACCTTAAACCTGAAAAGTATGGATTTGGCTGAGCTGTAAACTCAGTTCTCTCCAATGGCTATGGACAGGCCTCTTGGAATGAGGCTGCAGGTCTCTTGTAGTGGTTAGAATTGAGCATTGCTGACTGACTGGCATCTGTTCCACATGGGGGCCTGGTCTAAGGTGCCCTCTGTGCCCTGCAGGGCAGCTAGGATTGCCCCTGGGAGGACATAGGCTGGGGATGATTATCTGACCCTCTCATGGGAGGAGCCACTGAGTGAGCAACTCAGCAGGTGGCAGGGGGCAGCATCTGCCCCAGTTCTGCCCTCGTGGCTCTCAGTGCCTGGGATGGGATCCCCATGGCCTAGTGGCAGTGAATGTGAAACAGGGACCTCAGACCCAGCTGAGATGCTCCCATTCCTCTATTAGGTCTGCTACACACTGAGGGGAAATGCCATCCCCAGGCAGTGAGACAGGACCAGGCTGACATGAGACCTGAGGGCCAAAGCAGAAGTGACAAAGCAAAGCTAAGGGCTGAGCACAGAGAGCAGCAGCGGGTTAGGAGGGGCTGGAGGAAGTGCTCATGCTGTCAGGAGGAGGTGGCAGCCGGGGAGAAGAAAGACACCCAGTGGCGCAGGCACAGGGCTCCCAGTGCAGGGTGCTGCCCCGGCCCACCTCCTGTGGCCCCAGTGCCTCTCAGAACTGCTGCTACAAGGCTGCCTGCCCTTTATAGGGTCTCTTCTAGAACTGCTCACGATTTCCTTTAAACCCAAGAATCCCCCTACCCCAGCCCCAGCACTCCCCACTCCCTCCAGATGACACGCTGAGGCTACTTTCTCCTGGCCTCAGGAAGGGGAGGCTCTTGTGGGGGAGAGGCTGGGGTACTCCAGGTCCTTGCATTGGAATCACTCAATGCACGCCTCCTCCTACCGCAAGACAGCCACTCTGCCAGGCCTGGGTGGGCACTGATGCTGTAGCCATGGGTCCTATTCCTCAGTGTGTGGGGACAACAAAAGGGGAGGGACAGGCAGAAAAGAATACTGTTTTCAAGGAAGAAAAATGGATCACTCAGAAAACTTACTCTGTGATATGATATTGTTAGAGTTCATAGTCCCAGGGCCAAGTGGGTCCTTAGTTGGCAGGTGTGTGGAACAAACGGTTTTGTTGAGTTTTTGAGGGGTAACAGAGTCAGTGGGAAAAATTCTGTGCCTTTTTTTTTTTTGAGATAGAGTTTCACTCTGTCATCCAAGCTGGAGTACAGTGGTGGTGTGATCTCGGCTCACTGCAACCTCCACCTCCTGGGTTCAAGCGGTTCTCCTGCCGCAGCCTCCTGAGTAGCTGGGACTAGAGACACACGCCACCTCATCCAGCTCATTTTTTTATTTTCAGTAGAGATGGAGTTTCACCATATTGGCCAGGCTGGTCTCCAACTCCTGACCTTGTGATCCGCCCATCTCGGCCTCCAAGTGCTGGGATTGGAGTGAGCCACTGCACCCAGCCGCCATACCTTTTAACTATTCCCATGTGTCCTTTATTCCACTAAGATGAGTGCAGTGTATATTTCCATCTTTCCAAGGCTTCCTAAATGTAGCCAAGGCCAAGCCAGCACCAGTCACATGATCAAAATCAAAGGGCGTTTGGGGAATCCAGGCTGCGATTCAGGGAAGTTCCAAGTGTCTGATGAAGTGTTTGTTTCACATCCGTGTGTCCCTTGCAGGTCTAGCACAGTGCTATGTAGGTAACATGCGCTCCATGAAATGTGAATTAAAATTAAGTGTTCTACAAACATTGTGTTTTGGTTCCAGGTGTTTGATTTTGAGTTAACACAGCACGATATGGATAACATCCTCAGCCTAGACAGGAATCTCCGACTGGCCACATTCCCCATGTAAATATGACTCCTTCTTTTAAAAATAGAGGGAAGAATGTACAGATTGGATGATTGGTGTCTGAATAGGTATTTATCATACACATTTTAAATTAATTAAACCTTCTCACTGTAATTCTTTTCCTGTTTGAAGGTGGGCCACTGAATGAAGCTAATTTCACGCACTGGGGAGTTTAAAAGTGTATTAACTATATCATTTTAAATGTTTCTCTTAAAAAATAATCACTCGTTGTTTCTATTTTTGATTTGTTTTTCTGTTTTTCAGAACTAAAAATCACAAAGACTATCCTTTCCACATAGAATACTGAGGACAGCTCCCCATTCCTTGTTTCTGCTCAGCCCAGATGCACCAGCGCCATTGGTGATGTTGACCCTTCTCTGTCATCACAGCACCAGCGCAGCTGTGCCTGGGATGGGAGCCACACAGTCAGGGGGGCTGCAAGAGCCGCCTTCTCTGACAAATCTGGAGAATTGAGTGTGTTCTAAGTGAAGGCAATGGGGTTTCTCCAAGACAGCCTGTGTGGCCTCTACTCTGAAAAAAGACACTGATGATTGATCAATGAAATTTGCCTTCACATTTTAAGAAAACTTTATCTTATGGAATTATTTAAGCCATCTGCAGAGCTGAGGAAACAGTGTAATGTGTCTCTGCCCCATTGCCCAGCTCCACCAATTGTGCCCCAGGCCAGCCTGTGTCACCTTCACTTCCTTCTCTGCCCTGCCAATGACCCCCAGGTTATTCTAAAGCAGAGTCCTTCCCTTCCCCCATTGGGAAGTGAAATGGGATAAGTCTGGGTCACTGTCAGAGTTCAATAAAGAGGCTTTTTTCTTCCTTAAAAATCTGAATTTTTTTTTTTGGAGACAGTCTCACTATGTCTCCCAGGCTGGAGTATAGTCAAGTGATCTCAGCTCACTGCAACCTCCACCTCCTGGGCTTAAGTGATCCTCCTGCCTCAGCCTCCCAAGTAGCTGGTTAATTCCTAAATACTAGTTTTTAATATGGTCTTCTGGTAAGTCAGATTATACCTGGGGAACCCCCATAGCGGATATGAAACACAGTTCACTTCCTCACATCTGCTCATTCAGCCTGTTTAGATTCATGTATCAGAAGGAGGCCCTGCAGAGCATGATGTTCATGCCCAGGCGTTGGTAGAGGGTATGGTTTAATGGACTTCGTATGGTCCAGACGCTGTGATCCCTGTCCTTGCTGTCTGCTCAGCGAATCTGGCCTAGCTCCTGTACCCTGGGATTCACATGAATCTCCAGGGATATAACTTCTCAACTCATAGGCCCTTGGCTGCTATTCAAAATGAGTTAAGCCAGAAGGAAATTGATGTCTGCTCCATGGTCTCTTCCCACTTCCTGCGTTCCCCACATCAGCCTCCATACGAGCCTCTCATTTCCTCCTCATATCAGGGAAGATATGGAAGTGTTGCCCAGTGGCTGAAGGGGACTATTTGGGGACAGTACCCTCCACATCACTTCCCATTTTCACTTTATCACAGGCAGGCCAGCTGAGTCAGATATGTGGGTTCTGCAGATAAAAGGTGTGCCTTTCTAGCTCTGTGATTCTGAGCAGACTGCCTCACCTCCCAGCCCTCAGTGTCCTTGTCCACTCAATGGAGGAACTGCAGCACCTCCCGGTTGTGGAGACAGTGTCTGGCCCAGGATATGTCCCAGCAAGAATGCATTGTTGCTACGACCAGTATCATTGCCATTGCCTTGTTCCTCAGTTTCTCATCCACCTCCCTGCCCAGCCTTCCAGATGTTCAGGGGCATGTAGGAACCTTCTAGCTTGGCCTCAAGAGAGGACTTCGCTGCAGGCGTCCCAGAACGAAAAGACATGTGACTGGTGCAAGAGCTTCATGGGAGCCTCACCCTCGTGGGAGTAGGATTGAGGGTGAGGTGTCATGGTTTGACCAAATTTCCAAGGGGAGTTTAATCAGAAGACTGTTTACAAAGGACGCAGGAAATGGAGGGTCTTTGGACCTTCCTGTGATCAGGCCCTGCTCCACCACTATGGACCTTTAATTTTTCCATGTTCATGACTCCTTATCTTTCATTAGCTGTGTGACTTTGTGCAAATTCCTTAACTTCTTAAACCTTTAAACTCTTTGTCACTGTCTGCCTAGAGGTGTTAGGATTCAGTGGCACAGTGCACATGCAGCAGGTGACAGTCATCTGCATGTAGCACTCCTGTGAACACGTGCGTGTGTAGGTGTGTGACTTGTATTTTATCTCCCACAGAGTCAAAAATCTAACTGCTGTTTTGTGAATTTTCCTTGTCACATACCTAAACCGTCGTTCATTGACCTTAAAAGTGGAGAGTAGAATGGTGGTTGCCAGAGGCTGGGGAGCGCAGGGGTGGATGGCTGATGAGAGGTTAGTCAGCAAGGACAAAGTTGCAGTTGGGAGGAATGAGTCCCAGCGCTCCATTGCACAGTAACACAAGTTGGTTAACAATAATAGGTCATGTGTCTCATGATAGCTGGCCAATGAGGATCCACTACGGTATTTGCATTTCATGGATTTACTTCCAACAGGCATGAAAACTGAGTGAAGCCGACCACCAGGTGGCGCTGGGAAGCACTTAATGTTCCAGTGCATCTGCGACTCTTAACAGGAGATGGCAGGCTTTTACTGTCTGATTTTAAGGCGTCTTCAACTTTGTACAGTCACAGTGAGGAAGGAAGCAATGGATAGTAAAAATAAGCAAACACTGGGCAATTGCAGAGCTTAAAAAGTGTCACAGAGGTTATGCAGCCTCATTCTTGAGCAGTATTTCCCAGTTCCCTTTTCAGATGGTAATTGATAACTCGGTCCCTCTTTTCTGTTCATCCTGAGTGGAGCTGACAAGCCGTCGCCTTCCTCGGTTCCCTGCTTTTCTCTAGGAAATGTGACTTCTGTGTAAGTTCTTCCCCAGTCTGGGGCCTGGAGATAAAGGTCCATAGAGGATGTGTAAACGTGTGCCCTTAAGGCACCCTCTGCGTCAAATGATTGCGGGCATCTCTCCTGACTTTAAGACTGGGAGATACTCAGACACTCGTTTCAGTAGCTGCTTCTCCTCTTTGGCACTTACTTTTATTTGAATGGAAAATCCAAGGATAAGTGGCAATCAAGGCTTAAAAAGCTGGAAACAGATTCGGGAGGTGTGGATGGGCATCAGATGGGCATCAAGGTGCAAGAGACCTTAGGGAGGATGGCAGGGGCTCACTGACTGATGGCAGGGACTCGCTGACTGATGGCAGTTTATGTTTGATTGTTCTGAGAAACTGCAAACTGTTTCCGAAAGTGCACAGGCTTACAGTCTCATCAGCAATGTGCGAAGTTCCAGTTTCTCCGCACCCTCGCCAGCATTAGTTTTGGTCTGCCCCTGTTGTTGTTACAGCTGTTTTAGTGGGTATTAAATGGTGTCTCATTGTGGATTTAATTACAATTCCTTACTGCCTAATGATCTGAGCATCTTTTCATGTGCTTATTGGCCATTTGTATGGCTTTTGTGAAATCCCCCGTGGCATTCCTATGAGTTCACTGTGGTGCCGCAGGGTGACTATGTGCACAGTCTTAGAACTGTGCATTTAGACACTATTTGTTGTGCACAGTCTTAGAACTGTGCATTTAGACACTATTTGTTAGTTCCCAACTTTAATCAATGATAAAATTTGCATTTTAGCATATTTTTATTTCTCCGTCTTTTCTCTTTCTTCCATTTCTCCGTTTCTTCACACAGACATCTAATATGCACCTTAAACTTTATGTGTCTGAAACAATGCTTCAAGCACAACCCCAGCTCTCCAACGAGCTTTCTTTATTGTTATTCCTTAGTTTTAAAGATGAGGAAGACTGGGTCTTGCCCTTAAACACCCAAGTTGAAATGGGACAGGCAAGCATGTGGAGGTGATCACAGTACAGTGACATGTGACTGGCTCTGGCTGGGTTTGGGCACATTTTCATTTTATATCATGAAATTGATCAAGACCCTGCGTCTTCATTGTATTTCCTTTTTCTTGTTATGCAGCATATTTTTACAAGACTGGATTCTTTCACGTACCCATACACTGGGGCAAATCAACTATCCAGACCTAGGTTAGCAACATTAGATGATGTGACATCCACCGTGCCGTGGTCATTGTCACTCCTGGTTGGATTCTGCCCTGGGCAGAGAGGGCTAGTGGGTGTGACTCTAGGCCCAGTTTCCATGGCCTGGCAGTCCTCACTAGGAGGCCAGTGCTGGACTGGAAGCCTGTCTTCACCAACTGGTTTCTGGTGCTTTGAACACATGGAGATCAAGGAAAACTACAATTTTTAGTGTGCATTTCTGTCACATGTGGCCTCTGTCACTTAGAATTATATCCATGCTCCAACACCAATCCCTCCCTAACATTAGCTAGTTCTAACACGATGCTTTCTGTGTGCCAGGTACTATTCTATAAGTATGTTACACATTTTAACTCAGTCTTCACAGAAAGGTAGGATTTACCATGATTTCCATTTTATAGATGAAATAACCAAGGAATAGAGAAGTTAAGTAAATTGCCCACAAATACTCAGATAGTAAAGTGATGTAAGTAGAATTTGACTCGGGAAATCTGGCTTCAGAGGCTGGGCTCTTAGTTACACACCATGTGGGAAACGGTTAACTATGCACTCTTTATGTTGAAATTAATCTTTTTAAACTATGTAAATAAGAGGGTGATTCTTGGTGTTGATCTCCTGAGAAGATAGGACATATTCCACCCCCCAGGACTGGCATGTGGCCCAGTGGCAGTGCCAGAACCTTTGAACACACAGCTCTATTCCATGTGACACCAGTGGAAAACGAAGCATTTCTTGGCAGTGTTGATGAGTATTTGGATGAAAAAAACAGAAGAGCTCATTAAACCTGTAAAACTCTGTTCCAGAGGTGACCAGCATTACTTCCCCTGGGAAATCACTGAAGAACAGTTACCCTGAGACACAGATTGGTGAGTCACATGAATTCAAGCCATTCTATGCTTAATTTACTTTCAGCCCTGATTTTAAACAGAGGAAGTATATTTAAACCCAGAAGGAGATATGGAAACAGCAGTTTCTTGGCTAGAAAAATTAGCATCTCTAGGGGGAAGTGGAAAAGTCTCAAAGAGCTGAAGAGCGTGAAAAAGGCTCCTTCTCTTGTCAAGATAGATCACAGCCCTCGTTAGTGAAGAAGATTCTACAGGCAGAAAGGGCCCTGAACAAATGCCCGGCAGCAACAGAAACTGTGGTGCAATTAATTCTTGTAAAAAGTAAGATAGAAGTAGCTCCATCAATGGAAGGAGAATACAGTTAGCTAGAGACTACCTAAAACAAGAGAATCTCTGAAATTAAGTTAGATTAAGTTGGATTGAGTAGTGACAGCTGCAGGGACGGACCTTCACCACTGTGCCACCCCACCGGGTGTCTAATGAATTTATGCTGAAGCAGGTTAGGAAAATTGGCAAGCAGAAAATACAACAGAGATGGATGGGCAAGGTCTGCTGGAATTGCTACTGCTTTTTTGTTTTCATTTTATTTTGTTGTTCTAAAAATATTTTATTTTATTTTATTGGCTTACGTGGCAGAAATTTATTTTCTCACAGTTTTGGAGGCCAGAAGTCTAGGGTCAAGGTGTTAACAGATTTGATTTCTTCTAAGGCCTCTCTCCAGAACTTTTCCTTCTGTGTCCTCACGTGGTCTTCCTTCTGTGTGAGTCTTGAGGGCTATTTTAAAGCCGAAGAGATAAAAGAGGTTGTGGGGCTATGTCTTAAGACAAAAGAACATTTAGGAAACCTCAGGAAATGATCAGAGGGGGATAGATGTTACTAGAAGAAACAAATAAATTGGATTCAATTAGGAGTTGGAATCATTTACAAAGCAATGGGGAAAGTAAGCCAGTAAGCCCCTAAAAACTATTGTAGCATATAATAACCACAGCCAAACTCTCATAATATATTCCCCAAGACAAAAGATAAATATGTACAAGATTGGCATTGTTTTATATGTTTGCAAACTTCTTTAATGTCTGGCTTAGTAGATGTCATATCTGAGTCTGCATTCAATCAAAATGTCTTGGCTAAACTTCATGAACAAACCCCAGCCTCACAAATTAGTAGTTGGAAAAAGGAGGCATATTTAGAGCTTTTTCAGATAATTGTATTTCTTTGATACAATAACAAACAGTAGTTTGTTTAAGGTTAATTGCAATGAGGAACTTGTTGCCAAAAAAAAAAAAAAAAAAAAAAAAACCCAAACTCTGTAAAATATCTGAAGAGATTTATTCTAAGCCAAGTGTGAGAACCATGACCCATGACACAGCCTCAGGAGATTCTGAGTACATGTGCCCATTGTGGTTTGGTTACAGCTTAGTTTCATATGTTTTAGGGAGACATAAGACACCAGTCAGTATATGTGAGGTATACTTTGGTTTGGTCTGGAAACATGGAACAACTAAAAGTGGGGACAACTGTCAGAGGAATTTAAACCAGAGCAACTCCACCTTGAATAGGAGCTGAGTAAAATGAGGCTGAGACCTATTGGGCTGCATTCCCAGATATTTAAGACATTCTAAGTCACAGGATGAGATAGGAGGTTGCACAAAATACAGATCATAAAGACCTTGCTGATAAAACACGTTGCAGTAAATCCCCCAAAACCAAGATGGTGATGAGAGTGACCTCTGGTCATCCTCAATGCTACACTCCCGCCAGTGCTATGGCAGTTTACAATGCCATGGCAATGCAGGGAGTTGCCCTATATGGTCTAAAAAGGGGAGCAGAAATAATCCACTCCTTGTTTAGCGTATCATCAGGAAATAACCATAAAACTGGCAGCCAGCAGTCCTTGGGGCTGCTGTCTATGGAGTAGCCATTCTTTTACTCCTTTACTGTTTGTTTTGTTTTGTTTTCTTGGTTTGTTTGTTTGTTTTTGAGACAGAGTCATGCTGTGTTGCCCAGGCTGGAGTGCAGTTGCATGATCTCGACTCACTGCAACCTCCACCTCCTGGGTTCAAGTGATTCTTCTGCCTCAGCCTCCTGAGTATCTGGGACTATGGGTGCGTGCCACCACATCCAGCTAATTTTTGTATTTCTAGTAGAGGTGGGGTTTCAACATCTTGACCAGGCTGGTCTTTAACTCCTGACCTCATGATCCACCCACCTTGGCCTCCCAAAGTGCTGGGATTACAGGTGTGAGCCACTGCGCCTGGCCTACTCCTTTTACTTTCTTAATAAACTTGCTTTCACTTTATGGCCTTGCCCTGAATTCACTCTTGTGCGAGATCCAAGAACCCTCTCTTGGGGTCTTCATCCAGACCCCTTTCCTGTAACATCTTTCGTGTGACGACTGAAGGGACTATAGTGAGAAAACCCCCACCCCCAACTCAGAGGCTAACTTTGGGTAAGTGATGGGGTCCGGTAACATTCTTCTTATAAACCACAAAAGGGCCGATACTGAGGAGACCTCCGACCCAAAGGAAATAGACTGCAGCAGTGATCAGCCAACTTTGGGTAAGTGGGGTGTGTATACCCAGGTAAAGAATGGGATTTGGTAGCAGGCCTAACTTAGGGGAGTTAGGGTCTCTCCTAAGAGTAGGTTAGAGGTCCCTCTTCTTAAAAGGCAAGGACACTTGACTGACCTTGGGTTAGAGGCCCAACTAAGGAGGGTTAGAGGCCCCTCTGGGTAAAGTCTCTTTCAGCTAAGAATGGATTTGGCACTGGGATGTTAACTGCTATTCTCTTTGAATAATCTGCCTTGCCCTCTTTGCTGACGGCTGTGGGTGACAGGATTAGGCATGTACAGGATCATGGGACATGGGGAGCTTTTTCCTCCCTAAGAGGGGAAACTTGAGAGCTGATGGGACTGCTGGAAAAGATCGCTTCATGACCACAAGTTGTCGCCTGAACTTTTCAGTGTAGCTGCATTTGGGTGGGTCTTTCTGTGTCCTCCCTGAGCACCTTGCCTTTCCCACCCTGCCTCAGGCAATGCTTCCACCATCCCTGCAAACCGGTTGAATGAATGGTAAAAATAACTGTTTATCTCCTCTTCTCTGTAAAGTGTTGATTAATGGAAAGAGGGATTTGTGAGGCTAGTCATAAGCTGTAGCAAATCTGATGTGCTTTGTGTGTCTTTCTGTATTGTTCTGTCATAAAGAGGAATATCTTAGAATAGAATATGGGCTTGAGACAGCTGTATACCTTCTGTTCAAGATGGCCAAGAAAACTTGTCAGTTATAAACTTTGCTGCAGGTCCCAGAAAAAAAACTGGATGAGGTTTCCCCCTTGTCTTGTATGTCCTTGGGACTTGACCTTATAACCATGTGGCAGTACTTTCTCTTGGTTTCTGCCATCACAATGTCAGCCCAGGTTCAGGGTCCAATTCCTGGCTTAGGGAATAAGTCCTTTATCTTCTCTCTGTCTGTGTTTATATGTGTTGTGTGTGTAATGTTTACATATGAAAGAGCTTTAATTGATTGGCTTAAAAAGAATAAGAGCTTAAATCAAACATTTTGTCAAAAAAATAAAAAGTGTAATGCTGTTTAGTTCATGTGACTTAATCTTTGGGATATAAAGACAGTTTCAAAGATTATTGGTAAAATAAAGACATGGGTCTAAATTAGGCAGGTCAAATATTAAGTTTGCTAAATGCTTTAAGGGCATAAACTGCTTCTTAGGCTTTTGAAAATTGTTCAATTTACCTAGCTCGGAGCATTTGATTCTAGATAAGGCCTGGGGACATGTGGAGAGCCGTGCCCCCTAGCTGTGCTGGAAACAGTCAGCCCTTATCTGAACTTCTGTCTGCTGTCCTATCCTACACACCTAGTACAAAATTAAAATCCCAAACTTACCAAGATTTTTCACCAAAAGTAAAAGTCGCTAAGAGTTAACAGTATAACATATATTTGAGGCTACTGGAGAAACAATTCTACACTCAAGGCATGTAAGGAAAGTAGAATGTGTTTTGGTAAAAGATTATAAGAAGTCATGGAAATGTGGATTTTTCTGCGAAAGGGTTAAGTAATTGTCTTAAGTTAGAGTAAAGCTGAAGGTTTAAGCAAGTTATGGAAGGTTTGTGAAAAATTAATCCTGTAAAAGAAATTCTGTTTTTGAACATATTGGCTAAATATAAAGGAATATTATTCAGTTTTTTGTAGACTGAATATTGGAATAAAAGCACAACAGGTTTTTCTTAGAGCAAAAACCTGCTTATGACCTTCTCTTTAACAAAAATTATAAAGGGTTATAGAAGGTTTATAAGAATCTTACCTTATGGTCAAAGAGAATACGATTGGATACACTAATCTGTAAGGTTTTATTAAGAATTAGGTCTGACATCAATAAGGCACTAATGCAACAGTGACAGTTGGCTTATTTAGTATAAAAGTCATACAGGAAGCATTGTCAAATATGAAATGGTGTTTGATTTTCTTTCAGGTGTATTTGTATAAATGTGTTATTGGTATATATTCCAAAATTATGGGAAACTGCTATACTTCTGATATGACTTAGTGTATGTTATTAATAATTTTAATTGTTACATAAAATCATTCTATGGCACAGAGGTAACCAAATTTCTTTGTCAATTATGTTTTTGACTGTAACTGTCCTGAGACTTTTGTCATCCGTGGACAATTTTTGCCTTGTTTAGTCCCCTTTAGAAGATGGTTTATAATCAACTGTAGAACTCTAACTGGTGTTCTTAAGTGCAGGCTTCTGATAAGTTTGAAGATTATGACATTAGAATAGAGAAAAACCTTCCAGGGCTCTTATGGAGAGCTGAAATGTTCATGAATATCAACCAGAGCAGGAGTTAATTAAATTGACTGAGCCAATAAAAAAACAAATAATCTTTTTTAACTTTTTTTTTTTTTTTTTGCTTAAAACGTTACTAATCATTTGCTTTGTTTTTTTCAGAGTTAAGAAAACTTTTAAGCTATTTATAACTTTTAACAATAGAGTCAAGTATATTTCTGAGAACAAAATTTGGAGCATATTCGTTTCTCTCTACCTGATATCTTCAGAATTTGGAAACTATTTGTGAGTATTCTTAACTTATGGCAATATAGTTGTTTGTTTGCATAAGTGCAGTCAGAATCTGTTTTCTTTTGTAACAGGACCCAGTTGGAAAACATGGTTATTTTACCGAGGCTTTGACTGGAATGATATGCTTTCCTTTAAGGAATCAAATTTGACTTGTAGAGCCAATAAAAGCTCCTCAGCAGGAAGGGTTGGAGATGAACCTTATCTAGTTCTCCCCTACCCAGTCTGACTCCAGAGCTCTGGAGGAGGGCTCCCATGCTTCACCCTGAGACCAGCTTCTTGCTCTTGGCATTGGTGTACACGGACCTGTTCCTCTGCCCCACACATCACAGAAAGCAACAGGAGACACACACAGACAAGTACCTACAATGGAGGGTCAAGATAGTGAACATTTCTGCTGAGGCCATCAGTGGCTTTCACATCATCTGGGGTCAACTCAAAATTGAACACTGGTGAGAAATAAAATTATCACAGCCCCTTTCTTTTAAGCCATTGCTTTTACTTATTAGAGCATGGCTTATTAAACTTTGATACGGAAATTGACCTAACAGCAGAGGAAACTCAAGAGTTATCTCAGGGGAATCTGTAGCTGTGGTAGCCTATTGGTAGTTTCCAATATGACTCTGAAGTCTTGGATTTGACTTGGAAAATTAATGCAAAATATATCCAAATGTTTTTATTGTGGCAAAATATACATAAAATATACCATTTTAACCATTTGTAAGTTTGCTGTTTGGTGGTATTCAGTACATTCACATTGTTGTGCAACCATCACCATCATCCACTTCCAGAGTATTTTCATCTTTCCCAGCTGAAACTCTCTGCCTATTAAACAATAACTCCCCATTTCCTCCTCCTCCAACCCCTGGCAACCACCAGCCTACTTTCTTGATCTATACATTTGACTCCTCTAGGGACCTCATATAGGTAGAATCACACAATATTTAACTTTTTATGCCTGGCTTATTTCACTTACCATATTGTTTCCAAGATTCATCCATAATTAATTAGTTCACATTGCATGCCTGTATCAAAACGTCTTATGTTCCCTGGTATGATTTGGATCTTTTTCCCCACCCAAATCTCATGTTCAAATGTAATCCCCAGTATTGGGGGTAAAACCTGGTGGGAGGTGATTAGATTGTGGAATTGGAGTTTTCATGAATGGTTTAGCACCATTCCCCACTTGGTACTGTATAGTGAATGAGTTCTCATAAGATCTAGTTATCTAAAAGTGTGTAGTACCCCCCCACACACACACACCCCTCTCTCTTCCTCGTGCCCCAACGATCTGAAGTGCCAGTTCACCCTTTGCCTTCTGCCATGATTGTAAGTTTCCTGAAGCTTCCCCAGAAGCTGAGCAGATGCCAGCATCATGCTTTCTATACAGCCTGTGGAACTGTGAGCCAGTTAAACCTCTTTTCTTTGTAAATTACCCAGTCTCAGGTATTTCTTTATAGCAATGCAAGAACAGACTAATACACACCCCATAAATATATATACCTACTATATACCCACAGAAATTAAAAATAAAAATAAAAATTTTAAAAAAGATTCGTCCATGATTCAGTATTGGTAGGTTATGTGTTTCTGTGGATTTGTTCATTTTGTCTAGGTTATCTAACTTGCTGGCATACAACTTTTTACACTACTGTCTCATACTGTTTTTTATTTAAATAAGTTTTTATATTTCTGATTTAAGTTGAGTTTTATCATTTTTTAACTTTCTTAGTAAATCTAGCTAAATATATTTCAATTTTGTTGACCTTCTTTGAAGAACCAACTCATTGTTTCGTTGTTGTTTGTTTCTACCTTTGTAAATATTTTCTATTTTATATATCTCTTCTCTTGTCTTTATTATTTCCTTCCTTCTGTTAGATTTGGTTTGTTCTTTTTTAGTTCCTTAGGATGTAAAGTTAGTTTGTTGATTTTACCATGTTTGTTTTAATATAAATATTATCTATATTGTCAGTTTCTTTCATTGACAATTCAGGAAAATGAATCATACTTATTCTTTGACTTTTGTCTGGCATAGCTCATAGTGTTAACTACTCCAGGGAAACAAACTTGAGAAGATCAATTTTAGGCCATTTGAAAATTGGAGTCAGTAAGCATATGAGTAGATCTTACATATATGAAGAGAAAAAGGAAAATTGGGTACTGTTTTTATATAGACCCACTCATTTATTTCTTCATTCATTTATTCATTCGTTCATTGAGCCTACAGCAGGCTGAACCCTATATTCACCATTAAAAATGAAAAGACGAATTGTCTTTGGTCTTTCCCACAACATTAAATGGTAGAGATAGTCATGTAACCAAATAATTATTTCAATGCAATTGGTGCTTCAATTGAGGTAACACAAGTTAGCACAGAACTACAGAGAGAAAGTGTGTGGAAGATCAGGCCAGGGTGGTGGAGACGTTTTAGATGAGTGCCTAGGGTTCAGTAGAAAGACTGCCCAAGACAGGACTATTTCAGGCAGCTTCTACAAAATTCTGTATGATGTTTCAAGGTGGAAAGAAGGCATGCACTAGGGGAGCAGCAGTTCATTGGCACAACCAGAGACTAGAATGCATAGAGATGAGTGGTGGAAGATGAGGCTGAAAAGGTGGGTAGAAATCAGATCACTTTAAACACATACTAAGGAATTAGGCTATATATATATATATATTTTTTTTTGAGACGGAGTCTCACTCTGTCACCCAGGCTGGAGTACAGTGGCGTGATCTCAACTCACTGCAACCTCCGCCTCCTGGGTTCAAGCGATTCTCCTGCCTCAGCCTCCTGAGTAGCTGGGATTACAGGCACTCATCACCACGACCAGCTAAGTTTTGTATTTTTAGTAGAGACGAGGTTTCACCATGTTGGCCAGGCTGGTCTCTAACTCCTGACCTCAGGTGACATCTGCTTCAGCCTCCCAAATTGCTGGTATTACAGATATGAGCCACTGCACCCAGCCAGGAATTTGGATTTTATCAATGAGATCATGTATGGTCTTTGAAGTTTTGTCACAATTTATTCATTTATTTCACCCACATAAATTGAATCCCAATGTGTTAGTCAATGTATTGAGTTTAGGATACAAATATGAATGAAGCATTGTTTCTATTCTCAACTCTCTCAGTTGAAACACAACAAATATCAGACACAACAAATGAAAAATGAAATGTTGAGTGTGATACGTGCTCCGACTACATTCTGTACCAGAGGCAAAGAGGCAGGGAGGAGGACATGGCACAGGATATACTGGATATAAGATAAGACACTGAGTAATTATTTGATATGTGAGAGAAAGAAAAACAGTCAGAAATGCAAACAAAATCATGAGGCCTGGAAGAATACTATGGTCTTAAAAAGCAAGTTTTTCTCCTCTGGCTAGAATTAGCATAGGAACAGGAGAGGTGAGGCTAAAGAGCTAAGTGTGGGGATACATTTCTGCCTGCACTTTTCATATTTCTGCCAATTCTGGGTTTTCTGAGCAAAGGCATTTACAGCCATTGTATGAGGTGAAATTCCAGAAAAATGAAGAATAGGGTCAGATATCTCTTTAGATATCTTAAGGTAAAAAGACGAAGACTATACTTCCTTTCTCTGAAAAAGAATGGCTTACATTACATGAGTGATCTCTCTGTGGAAAGCAGAATAGACAGGTCAGCAGTGGCTCTGCGTAAGATCAGAATTTCCTAATTTTGTGGTGTCTCCCTTAGAATGCACTCCATGCATGTGCAGGTGCTATTTGGCCCTCATGGAATTGACTTGTAGGAATTGAGGACTGAGGCACCGGATGGGGCTCTAACTACTGCTTTTGAAGAGTAGTGAGCCATCTTAGCTCCTGAGGCATAGGCCTTGTGTCTTCTGCCAGTGGCTGTCTATCTATTGTCAGCAAGTAGATATGACTGTCAGGAGCTGACTATTATATTTCTACTGGGGCAAAAGCCTCAGATCCTTTCCAGTTCCTGACTTTAACAGTTGGCAAGGCCTACACTATCCCCCCATGTTCCAGGCCAGTGAATTTAGACTTTAACTGACAGGAAATCTTTACAGAGATAAGTCATGAATTGGATTTGTGTTTTTAAAACAATGAGTTAAAGGCTGGGGGTAGAAGATGAGTCCACAGGGCACTAGGCACCTTTGAGGTCAAGAATATATCTTCTGTCTTCACGGTGCCATTTTCAATCTTCTGACAAATAGCCCATCCAACTACTTCTTCATTTTTATAGACAGAAGCTGAATCTATGTGGCAAGAGCTGGTTTTGATATCTGTTGTGATGGACTCTTCATACTCTCTTTGAGGAACCTTTATGACCAAGGACAGCGTTGTTGTCCTGTCTGATTCACACAAGGGTAACCTCACAGTGGCTGCCAACTTTTTTTATTGCACCTCTATCAGTAAAGCTTTTTGAACTTGCATAGAAATATATCCATATTTATTGATGTGTTACTATATGAATGTACTGCTTTACTAATATGATGTATACTTTATAAAATACTCTTACAGCATCTGAAGATTAAATTTAAAAATTGAAAAATAAGAGCTTTATTAATAACCCAAACTCTGTGCGCTCTCTAATATATTGTAATTAATACCAAATTCTTTTCAAAGCAATGGTATGAATATGCTTTATTGGCTTTTTGTGTTGGTCCTTCTTGATTTAATGCTTTTTGACCTAGAAATGTGAACTTTGGGATTCTACATTCAGTTTAATTTGAAGTATGGTTTTCATGGCAGTCAGCTGCAGCTAAGGATGCCTCATAGAGATGCTTCAACGCACATAGGGGAAGTCTGTCTTTGGGTGCTCTTCATAAATCATGGTATGGTTTTCTCAGTCCCCTTTACCAATTGTATAATTTTTGAAATTTGACCAGTACATTATAATCTCCTCTGATATGCTCTTGTTATGTAATTGTAATTAATCAGGCTCAAAACTTACAAAACGTTTTATTTGGAAGATTTTTAAACGATTAAAACACTCTATCCAAAACTTTTA